CTTTCCTGCTTTGGAACTTTGTACTTGCTCATGTCTTAGTTTTTCACATGGTTCTTCCTAATTCTTTTTTTCTCATCTTAAATCTTAAAGATTACCTCCTCAGAGAGGTTTCCCAAACCACTCTATCTAAATAGATCCTCCCACATTACACAGTACCATAGCATCCAATTTATTTTCTTCACAGTACTTAGAACACAACTGAAGGTCTCTCTCCACTGAATGTGAGTCCTGTAAGCGAAGGGATCTTATCCCCCAGGTCCATAGATGAATCCCTAAACAATTGTTTTAGTACCTAAAACAGTACTTGGCATATAGAAGACAATGAACTAGGTGGGAAAGAAGGAAAGGAGAGACACAAACTTAGATGCTAATAGATGATCAACAAATATTATTAAATTAATGAATAAACTTGTTTGCACTGTGGGATAATTCACCATAAACTAATTAAAAATTGAATAATGCACAGTAAAATAGGTGATTGTGATTTAAGAAAAGTTGATTGCAGCAGTAATTAGGGAATGAATCCACTTGCCTTTTCTACTAATACCTCTACTAATAACCCACAGTAATAAAACCATAATGATGAAAACAATTACCACAAGTTAATGTAAATACAGCAAAATATAAAATTGTGCCAAATTTTATACAATAAACACATTTTTAAAAAGACTAGAAGTAAACACATCAAAATGTTAACAGATTATCTCTGGATGGTTTGATACATTTTCTTTTTCGCATCATTCTATATTTTTCAAATTCTATACAATGAGCATATTATTACTTTTATCATCACAACAAAATTCAACAAAAAGAACTATCACACTTCGCTAGCTCTAAACCTAGCCATAACTATGACTAAATTATTACAATCAAATTTGCAAATTTTCAAATGATAGTCATTAAAGCCTACTTATTATAGTGACTTTTTTTTACTAGCTCTCTGCCACTATCACCCTTTGCCACTTTTTTTCTTCTAATCTTGGGAAGTAGTTTATAATGATGGAAAGAACACCTCTGTATTCAGACATCTAAATCGCAACTCTACTTAGTTCTGTAATGCTGAACAGATTATTTCAATGATTTCAATTTTTCTCTTCTTATAAATGGTAATAATACCACCAATTGAAGATATTCTGGCATATGGTAGGGTCTAAATAAAGAGTAGCTATTATATTCATCAGAATATTATATTATCTACTAGCCAGGCTATCAGCACTTTGAGAGACTATGATCTCCTTGTTCCACTGTATCCTTAATATAGCACTGAGCTGGCATGTTATAGTTTTCAACATATATGTGTCCCATCTATTACTCTCTTCACTACCTTTTCACAGAGAGCTATATTAGTAGAGGGAATATTACCTCTCTCCTCCTAGTTATTTTAATGAAAAGTTAGAATAACTCTTAAAATCCAGAGGAAATCAAAGATTAAATCATATACCTCCTCACCACCCTATGGTAACAAAATAAAATGAGTAAAACAAATAAGACAGGCAATTTTAGACAGGGTAATGTTTTAGCCATTTAGGTCTATATTTCTAAATCATATACTTAAGCAGGTATTTTGGACATCACCTACTGACTTCCTGTTATAGTAGATAAAAGATTTTTACTACTCCTATGCTACCATCCCATTAAATTTTATCCCAATTTTTGGTTAAATGTATTACATTATTATGATTAAGGAAATACTGGTCACTATAGAGTGAAGAAATTTACTGTGATGATGTTACCTTTCTTATAAAAATTTCTGCTTCCCTATTATGTTCCTATCCTTAATCTTTTACATCAGAGGCTATTTATCCATCAACAGTTTTTTTTTTTTTTCTTGCAGCTGGCCAGTATGGGGAACTGAACCCTTGGTGTTAAAAGGCCACACTCTATCAACAGCTTTTTACTTGAAATGCTCAAACATATCTACTGAGCCTACTTTTATCTGGAAACTTCATTTTTGGTGAGGAAGAAAGGTTTATTTTCCTACAACCTCTCGCTCCAATTTGAATGAGATGTGCATTAGGTTTGTTGTGCAGATATCATCGTAGGAAGCCCCTTTATTGCTTTCTTGTGTTGGATCCTCTTTTTCCTAGCTTCTATGTGTTCTTTTTTGTTACTTTTTACTCCTTCTTGTTAGTGTATATGGCATAGTAATTTCCTAAGAAAGAGTGCATAAAAGGTCTATCAGTTTTTAAATCTTGTGTAGCACACACCGCTGACTGCATTATCCAACAGCCATTTCCAAACGTTCCCCAGTGTACTATATAAAGGCTGGAAAAGCTAAATATTTGCTTTCCCACACGCTCTTGAAGCCAGGTTTCACAGTTTTACTCAATGAAATGTAAGTAGAGGCCTGCCAGGAGCTTACTGGGCAAGTTTTGCTTTTCTTCCTTTTTTCCTAGTCAGAACAAAGGCATGATGTTTTTGAGGTGCTTCAGACAACTTGCCACCAGGTGACTATAACCTTGTGTTAAAGAGAGCTAACAGGAAGACAGAACATGGGGGCCTTAATGACACTGCTGAATCATCACATCAGTCCCAGATTGTCTACCTCTCGGTTTCTTGTTCTATGAAAGAAAGAATTCCATATTTGTTTAAGCCATTATTTACTGAGTTTTCTAGTACTTGCAGGCAAACACATTCTACTGATACACCTTGCATATATGAAAATAATATTCCTTCTCCCTTGTTTCATTGTTTTGGCTATGAATAGAATTCTAGGTTGATGATAATTTTCCCTCAGAATTTTTAAAACTCTGTTCCCCCTTACCTTATAACTTCTAATGTTGCTGAAAATTTCTGTAACATTCTAAGTCCTGTTTCTCTGAATATACCTTGTTTTGCTCTAGAAGCTTTCAGGACCTTCTCTTTGTGTCTGATATGTGAAAGTGCACAATGCACAACATTGTGCCTTGAGGTTGAGACACTTGTGTGGTTTTTGTTGTTTTTTTTTCTTTTTGTCTTTTTTACTGACTGGTAACAGGATCGCAACCCTTGGTGTCGCGCCTGCACCGGGGACCGGCAACGGGACCACAACCCTCGGTGCTGCGCCTGCACTGCGCTCAGCCAGCGAGCGGGAACCGGTCTCCACATGGGATCCGAACCCTCGGCGGTGCCCGCCGTGCTCCCAAGCGGCGCACTCTCCAGTGTGCCACCGGGCCAGCCCTTTTGTTGTTTTTTTTAAAAAACTCAATGTACTGACTTCTGTAGGGGGCCATTTATAATCTGGAGACTGATGCTTTTCAAACTGGGGAAATTTTCTGATATTTATTTTATAGTCCTGTCTCTTCTATTTTCTTTGTTTTCTATTGTTGAAGAAACTCTTGTTAGTTCAACATTGTACTTCCTGAATTGAATTTTTAAGATCCTTATTTTCTCCAATTTCCATCCCTGTCTGTCTGTCTGTCTACATTTTGGGAGATTTCCTTTTGTTGATCTTACAACTCTTCTAATTTTTTAATTCTAACAAAATTTTTTTCCCAAAAGCTCTTTCTTAGTCTCCGATCTTTCACTGCACCCTATTATCATTTAATGGGTACAGTATCTTTTTCTCTAAAAAAGATGATATTTATTATTACTATTACGTTCTGCGCATTACTTCAGATTTGTTTTCAGGTTTGTTTTGTTTTCGTCTCTTTCATGGTAAAAGTACTAACATAGAAGATGTTTAACTGACTATCCATTAAGAGTGAAGAAATAAAAAGTTAACTGAAAACTGTGTGTGCACAGTGGGCAACACTGTAAGAGGACTGGACTGTGAAACTGGCCATTGTATTGGGAAGTAGGCAGCAAGATCAGCCATTTTACTGGTGGGGGGGGCGGTCTCCAATATCAGTATTTGGAGATCTTTTCTCTGAGGCCATACATTTGCTCCACAGAAGGTGATTCCAATCTTCTGCCAGGAGGCATATGCCTGGCATCATGAGAGCAGGTAATTGGTTATAAACCCCACTCTGCAGTATACAGGTTTACTTCTTCTATTTTCTCCCATGTCACCTCTGTCTCCACAGAGCCTCTATCATTCCATTTCCCCCAGAAAATAAACCTCTAGCTTTCCGCCTAGTAGAAAGGATGGGAGTAGGGTCCTGGGGGTCAAACTACTCCACATGCAATTTTTAACTGTGGTGCTATGTTATGTTTTAGATATTAACAACTATTTTAATTTAAAAATCTTTCAGTTGTTTTTATTTTAGAAGACGTTTGTATTAATCAACATAGCATCCAGAAATGATATCTATGAGACAGTTTTTAAATTCTCATTTTGTAAAAGAGCCAACAATAAAAAGACCTATTTTATAAATAACAGCTAAAAGGAAAAGCAAGTTTACCTAATTTCTCATCCTATTGCTCAAATTAGGCATTTTAAACCATTGGGCCCTAATCAAAGTCACTCTTCTGCATACAGTAACCACAAGCAAAGGAACCACTATGTAGGACAGCTGTATATATTATCAAAACAAGATATTTTTGAGAATGAATGGGGCACTATTAACAATTATGCCAGGGCAATATGCACAAACTGGGCAAACCAGTCACCCTCTTATTAGAAGAATAACTTCTTAAATGCTGAGTTTGTAAACTTGTAAGTTATTACCAATCACATGAAGTTCTCTCTTAGAACACAGACATGCGCTACTATGCTAGTGCCTAATACACAGGTCACTATAGTGAAAACAGAAGGTAGAAAGGATTAGCAAATATAGAATATACAGTTTGTAAGACTAATTCTTGCAAAGGCTGCCCCCTCCAACGAGCACGCACGCACACACGAATTCCTTTAGAAATTCATGTATTGTCCTTCTGCTCAAAGGAAATAATAACTCATATTTTTAAACAGAACTGGATAAGCTGATATGCTGGTAGAGTTTTCTTCATCTTACTCAGAATTACTTCATTTAAATAAATGTGGAAAGGGTTAAGAATAGTTAGAAAGAAAAGAAAATGGACTATAGTTTTCTACCTAAAGTAGTTAAGACATGAGAGAAGAAATCACTAAATGCCCTTACCCATCCCAGAGTCTTTCTTGGTGCCATCTGAAATTATGTCTACATGATCAGAGTCCACATCATAACTAAAGAAATCATTCAAATAGGTCTTTGATCGCTGGCCACCAAATACATATAAGCAACGATTTTTCTGAAAAAGAAGAAAAAAAGGACAAAGGAGAGAAAGCTTTTACTTCCATGAAGAATTCAGAATGATCCATTTAAAATTTAAACCTCTACAAAAGTAACTTTATGACAGATCCCATGCAACCCAGTACTATGCTGGAATAAAAAGGAAAGAGAAAGTTTTCTATATATTACTAAGAGGTGATCTCTAGGATATCCTGTTAAAGTTAAAGCAAGGTACAGAATAACGCATATAGGCGCTGCCTTCGTGTAAGAAAGGAGAAAAAGGAGTATCTGTATATGAGAGAGAGAAAGAGAGAGAGACAGAGTGAGTGTGTTCACTTCTTTCTTCAAAAATAAAGGAAGGATTTAAAAAAATCCAAATAAAAGACAGCTACAGGGGAAGAAACAGTGCAGGAAGACAGGGTTAAAAACCTTGACATACGGTTTTAACTTTAGAAAACAAAATTAACTCAAAAGAAAGAAATCTCTGAAATTTGGGAAAAAACATGAAATAAATAAACCTATTTGTATATAAAGATATGACCACAAAGACATGACCACATAGAGAAATATTATTTCTAGTGACTTTAATTCACACTTTTTGACTATCCATCCCTAGTGGGTTATATCCTCAACAAAAAAATTAGCAGAAAACAATTTCACAAGCATCCAATAATTCTGTTGGTTGTTTTGTTAATTTGAAAACCATTAGACAAAGCAAGTAATATAATATTGTTACTATAAAGCAGGATTTTAATTTTGAAAGAAATACAAATAAAAAAATCAAAGACATTAAGTAGAAGATAAAAAATCTTACATTTGAATTGGACATATCAGTATGAACCCATGATTAATTTTTCTCTTACTAAAGAAATATATATGTATACATAAGGGGGAGGGAGTTCCCACTGGCCAAAAACAGAGAAAAATTTGAGCATAAAAAAGAATAACTATAGCACTGAATTTAAACACATCAAATATATAAAAATTCATCAGTTTATAATAATACTTTTTATAATACTTCATTGGAGCTATAACTTTGGAGCCTCAACTCAATCATACGAAAATCAATAAAGGAAAATAATCAAACATTTATACTTTCTTTTCTTTTTTTTTTTTTCCTTTTTGTCTTTTTTTCGTGACCGGCAACGGATCGCAACCCTCAGTGTCGCGCCCGTACCGGGCCGGGACCGGCAACGGGATCGCAACCCTCGGTGTTGCTCCCGCACCTCGCTCAGCCAGTGAGCGGCCGGTCTGTATGTGGGATCCGAACCCTCGGCGGGAGGGCAGCCACACTCCCAAGTGGCGCACTGTAGCAGTGCGCCACCAGGCCGGCCCCAACATTTATACTTTCTATTCTGTATGGCTTGCATTTTAGGGTAACCAAATAGTGAGGGGAAGTTTTTTATAGTAGAATCACAGTCAATAAGTGCAGAAGAAATGACATTATTAGAAAAATCACCATTTCTGAAACCCTAATGAAATCTAGGCAATGAATATCAGTGGCTGCTAAAACCATTAGGTAAAATTTGACAGGTAATTTTATAATTAATTGTCAGGCTGATAAAACCTGAAGCCATTAACATCACCAAAAGTATGCCAACTAGACATTAAATGCCTCTAGATATTTTTTAATCAGTGTCTATGAAGCATTCTTGCACTTTCCCCTTTGCACCCCCTGCCCCACACACAAAGGACAGGGAATCTAAAATCAAGCCTCTGGATGTAACTACCAGTTTATAGGAAATATGAAGGATAAAGGAACACATTAAACAACACTATGAAGATAATTGGCCAAATTAAGAATATGGGAGATTCTAGAGCTCAAATGACTCACTGTTTTCAACAAATAAGTGATGCTGGGCGGGGAGCGGGAAAGTACTGTAATGGATTAAAAGAAACAAATGAACTACGCAGACCTTTTTTTGGATCCTGACTTGAATAAACCAATTATAAGAAGGCATTTTTCAGTATACTAGAAAAAATGTAGACTGAGTATTAAATTATATTAAGAAATTGGTTTTATTTTGGTTAGATATGATAACGGTATTGCAATTACGTTTTTAAAAACTACTTATTTGGGGCCGACTCCATGGCGCACTCGGGAGAGTGCAGCGCTGGGAGCGCAGCGACGCTCCCGCCGCGGGTTCGGATCCTATATAGGAATGGCCGGTGCGCTCACTGGCTGAGTGCGGTGCGGGCGACACCACACCAAGGGTTGCGATCCCCTTACCGGTCACGAAAAAGACAAAATAATAATAATAATAAAAATAAAAAGTACTTATTTGTTAAAGTTATACATGACAGTATTTACAAATATAATGATACAATATCTGCTATAAGCTTTCAATACTCCATTACAATAAAACTTCAGAATAATCTTAAAAATCAAAGAAACATCAAGAAAAGGAATGAAGTTAAATAAAAGTGGGGTAGATACATGAAAAATGAACAGATTATTGATAAGTGTTGAAATTGAGAAATGAGTACATAGAAATTTATCATTATACACTTTTCTCTACTTGTGAGGAGAGAAAAATATGTTTAAAATATTCCATAATATTGTTTTAAAGCTGTGTCCGCAGAAAGAAGACCAAGATTTCATTAAAACATTTGAGAAGGTTAGCAAAAAGTCTATATGTTGGTTTTGGTGGTTAGTTTTAATTCTAACTCTATAAAATCAATTCTTAATTCTTTGAACTTAATGAAGAATAGCAGAGGGGGAAAAAAGAGAAGATTAAAAAAAAACTGTCCCTCTAATTACTAAAAGAAGTCAATGAGTAGAGAGGCATGAGAGAGGGAAATAGCTACCATATCTGGATAAGCCGTGAAATTAGTCATAGATTGTCTAGATTAGTATTCAGGTAATAACTATTTAGGAATTACTAGGCCGATGGGAAGAGTCTCATAATTAACAAACAGTTCACTGATAAAGGAAGTTTTATTTTTATTCATCATTACTACACTAATTATTATTTCTAATGAAAAGTACTGATCTCTTACTGAAGAATTAGATTTCCCCACTTCTTTTCCTATAGAGATATACACAACAAAATAACATAATGCAATGTGCAGAATATTCTTACTGAGTGAAATAGCATGCAGTGTCCTATCCGAGACTGGATGTCCTCAGGCCCAGCATTACAGGAGTCCTCTCGAAGAAGTTTCCAGGTTTGACACTGACAGTTGAAAGCAAACAACCCACTGAATTGTGGTTCACTGGCTCTGCTGTCATCTACGCTGCCATTACATGTCAAAATTCTACCACCAAAGGTGTAGATCATATGTTTTTCTGAGTCCATACACATCTATCAGAATAAGGCAACAGATTGAACAGTTTTAGTTTGCTCCTGTGCTAAAATGAAACCAATGTTTGCAGTTTTACATTCTTATAAAAATCCTTAACTTTGTCCTTAATGATACTAAATACCACCCCTGATTATCATATGCACATATTGCAATACTGTTCACCACCTAGCAGAGATTCAGGATGAATTTCAAAATGCCTTTTCAGGTTTCCATTTTTCCCGATGAGAGTAAAACATTTTGGGTTTAAAGAACTTCCTGCTTTCCTGAGACTGCATAATTTTTACCATAATCATGAGGTAATTGATTTATTCATAAGAGTGAATACTGATCAGACTCTATGGGTGAATAGTGATCACACGCTTCTTTTTACTTTCCTTATAAAAACTCCCTTCTTCCTATTCTAGAGAAGTATCCTATTAATACTGCTACCATTTAATATGAGAGCGGATATGCAAGTGACAGTGATACAGCTAAATTCACCTCTCCTGCATTTATTTTACAAAACTCTTCAAATTACATTGTTACAAAACAGTTATGTTACTAAATTAAAATTAAAAATTATGTTGTTATAAATTATGTTGCTACTAAACAAAAAGACATTTGCAACAATCAGTCCCCAGACTGACTTCTATGGTGTGAAAAATTTTACCTCCTGCAGAACACTATAAATTTAATTTTCTTTGAATTAAGCTATGCAATTCATGTTCAAAAGCCAACCTTGATTTATTCCATTCTTTCAACGCAAGGAGATTACAGCTTCTCATAAAAATACGTGAGAAAACAGCCGTTTGTCACAAGATAATAAATAAGAATCAAACTCTATTTCAAAGAATACATAGTCCAAGTGGGGAATTAGATGTTAAACACAAGTGGCATTTATATTTAAGAAATAAATTGTGTACACAAATACCTATTTTTTTTTTTTGCTAAAGCACAAACATCAGCCATTACACTCATATGTTCAATTCTCTCCTCCCACCAAATTACTTCTGCAATTTATCTATTCTTGTACTTTTAACAAAAGCTGTGTTAATAATTTTAAAGGTACTTTTAAAAATTATTGTTATTATTATTTATTTATTTTTTTGTCTTTTTCCGTGTCCAGCAACGGATCGCAACCCTCAGTGTCGCCCCCGTACCGGACCAGGACCGGCAACGGGATCACACCCCTCGGTGTTGCCCCCGCGCCTCGCTCAGCCAGTGAGCGGGAACCGGTCTGTATGTGGGATCCGAACCCTCGGCAGGAGCGCCGCCGCACTTCCCAAGCGGCGCACTAGCGCAGTGCGCCACCGGGCCGGCCCAAAATTATTGTTATTATTAAACAGAAAAGATTCTAGCATCTCCTAATCTTTACCTACCTCATTTTCTATTCCCCAGGTTTATTGTAGAGTTCCAAAAATTAAGATGGATATCTACTATTCCCCAAGGGTGAAATGTGGATGAATATGGTTGGAACACTAAGATATTAAAATTTCACTCCACAGAAAGTGTCCCCATTCTTTAATCTTAAATGATCATATCATTAAAAACAGTCCATACATTCCTGAAGACAACTCAGTATGGCCCCATTCAACTAGTATATCTCTGCCTAGGGCTTCATTGAAGCTGTTACGTTAACCCTGTTCAAAGTACGTAAAGCTCAAATCTCTCCAAATACTTAGGATAATGCTGAAAGTCCTGAGGAACCCACATTGAGTCTATTTCCGTTTTCATAAACTCACAGATTCCTACTAATTGCCAATTTCTGCTACCAAGTCCCTATGGTTTTACATCATATGGCTACAAAGGAGTTTCTCTTTCCTTTGGTGGGTATTTAAGCTTAATTTTGATGAGTTTATTCTCATTTGTTACATGAAGTATAAACATCTTTATCTTGGTAGCTCTTCCCAGCATACCAGTCCAAATCAATTAAAGAAAGGAGTAACTGACTGTATTAGCATGGTAATTCTTTCCCAGATCTTAACAAACAAGGCACAAAACAGAAAGAACTTTATTCTTTCAGCTACCTATCCCTAAACTCAGTTCTTTCCTAGATAAGATAGGCAGTTTTAATAGGGTCTATTATCAAATATCAAATTCTAATCAATCTAGGAAACTTTATGCTATTAATCAGCTTATGGTCTCCTTCTAATTTGTGACCTCTACTTATTTGATTTTTTATTTGTTTTGTGTTTTTTAATCTCTGAAAAATGTTTCCGAAAAGCTAATGGCTTTTAAAACTGTGTGATAATGCCATTCCATCAATGACTTCAAGAAATCTTTTAAGCCAAAAATTGGAAGACTACTAATCTACTGTCAAGATAGACATTTAATTTCTAAAATCAAATAAATGGTGGATAACCATTTATTTTTCTAGAAAAAAAATTTTTTTTAAATCTGTAAGTGACTTTATTTTACCCTATCACAGGAACACAAGATTGGCAAGGTTATGGTAAGCTGGGTTCAAAAGAACTTCCTCCTCACAAAATTTGAAGATACTGCTATAAACCTTTCTAAGTATCCAGTGTTGTCCAATCTACCACTTTCCCTTCTGCCAACCTTCAAAAATGCTTCGTGCCAATTAGATTCTTGCTTACCTACAAAGGTAACCAGTTTTCTCCCAGTGGCAGCTTTTAGGATTTTTCTCCTAATCCCTGGTCTTGAAATTTCTTTAAGGAAGTATATTGTTAGAAAGGTTTTTTCCCCCCTCTTTTATTCTAATCTGCACCTAGTGACACCCTTCAATCTGAAAACTGTGTCTTTCTTCAGCTCTGGGCATTTTTTTCATTTTTCCCTTGAGTATTGTTTTTTTGTCACCATTTTCTCTTTCTGGAACTCCTGTTAGGAAGATATTGGAACTTCAAGACCTTTTCTCTGTTTCTTAACTTTTCTCACATAATTTCATCTCGCTAATTTACTAATTTAGAGATAAGTATGTCTGTTCTTAATTCAGAGATTATTTCACTATCAAATGTTTAATTTATAATTTTTGTGATTGTTTCTTTTTTATGGATGAAATATCCTCAAGAACTGCTCTAAAAATATCACTTCAATATAAAAGTTTTCTTCGGTTTATTCTGCCAGCTGTTTTTCTTTGATTAATTCTTAATTTGGTGAATTTTTTTGGTATCCTTATCTTATGGTATTAGTTATTTCCAAATATTTGGGATTTTTTTTTTGGTCTAGTCCTCTGTTTCTAAAAATTCCTATTCATCTGCCTATTGCATATACAGTAGCCTGTCTCAAGGGAACAGGTGGGGAAAAGTAAGACAAGATGTTGTCAAGGGTTACACAGCAGATTTCTAGTGCCCCTTGGGGGTACTGCTCCATCTTTCCAGCCCCTGTGTGTACCCTCAACATTTTATCTGTAAACAATTATCAGTGCTAAGTGCTACTCAGTCAAACTGGAGAATGACCTGCTATTCAGTCACCAACTGATCATTTAATGTTTTCCTCAGTTATATAAACTTTGAGACTCAAGTTATTTTCCAGCCTTTGCTGCAATCTTATAGGTTCTGTTTTTTTGTTTTGTTTTGTTTTTTTCTGGTTGGATATGATCCTATCTGCTTTTTACCTTAGAAGAATTACCACAAATTCTGAAGTTCCTCACGGCATTCGTTTTCAACTCTATTCTAATGTTGTCTCTTGTCATTTCACAGGACAGTAAAAGCCTATGTTCAGCCTGCCAATGATCCAATCTCACCTAAGGAGAATGCCAATAAGCTGAGATCTTCGATTCTTCCAATGAAGTTTTTCCTGCCACTTCTTGGACAGCTCATGTTCCATTTTCTAGTAATTTCCTCAAAAAGTGTTTGTTTTCAAGGGCAGTTTGGCTAGATATAAAATCCTTGGCTCACACTATCTTTTCTTGAATATCTTCTAGATGTTGCTCTATTGTCTCTTGGCATTGAACATAGATGTAGAGGAACCTGATACCAGTCTCATTTTAGCGCTCTTATAGGTAACTTGATAATTTAGTTGCTAACAAACGGTCTCTTTATCTTTTAAATTCAGTGACACTCAAATACATCTTAAGAGTTGAATATCTGTGTCAATTTTCTCTGAATAGTGTGCCCATTTAATATGTGAAGTAAAATCTTCTTTCTTCAGTAAGATTTTCTTGAATTTAATTTATAAAAAATTTGTTCCATTGTTTTAGTTTTCTTCTTTAAGGTGTCCAATTATGTGTATGTTGGTTATCCCTTGCCTAATTTCTCTATAATTTTCTGGCTAATCCTTTTTATTTCTTTATTTCTGTTTCCCTTTATTCCTTTATGCTCCTTGCAGATTAGACTTCATTTCTGAAAGTGGTAATATATTTGCCTTTTTTTTTTTAAATTTCTTTTCTGAGCTTTAGTAGGTCTGGTTTTATCTGCTCTTATCACTTGGTTATATCATCTGCACTTCTGAATTTCTACTTTATGATTTTCTTCAGAGTTTCAGGCTTCATAAAGTCATTTAATTCATGTTAAATACTTATATATAATTTTCATCTGCTTTTACATGAAGGGAAGCCTTGCTGTTATTTCCCTTTTTATTGTTTTTCTTTAGAATACCACTCTAAAGATTTGGTGTTTATTGCTTTTTAGTTATTCATATTTAAGTGGGTTGAATTTCCCTGGACCAGAGAACTCTATAGAGGGTTCCTATGGAAGGGGGATGTTCTTGCTCATGGATTCCTTCCTCTGGTGCTACTAAAATGAATTGTTTCGGGCCGGCCCGGTGGTGCACTGGATAGTGCGCCGCTTGGGAAGCGCGGCGGCGCTCCCACCCGAGGGGCCAGAGAACTCTATAGAGGGTTCCTATGGAAGGGGGATGTTCTTGCTCATGGATTCCTTCCTCTGGTGCTACTAAAATGAATTGTTTCTTCAAAATATGTGCTTCTGTGTAACCATGCCTTTTCTAACTCTATGAACCTCATCTAGTGTAGGGAGGTTCTACCTCAAGCTTTGAGCTCTCCCAGTTCCTCACTGGCTAATACAAAAGGAATCACTGTCCCCACTTGCTACAGTGTATTTTTCATTTTTGGAAAATAATGCTTTCTGACATCTACCACTGCTGGGCCTTTCCAGGCACTTTCCACATGTTAATTCACCAACTCCCCCTGTGGCTTCCCTGGGTGCAATCCTGACATTTCCCACAATGACATACCACTGCATACCCAGCTCTCCCAATAACAGTACTGTGAGCTTCAACATAAGTTCTGGGTATTTCAGTTGTCTTTGGTTAAACTTAGAAGGAATTGCAAGCTGTGGGCTTTCTTTGGCTTCTGGTTTTGTTGACTATGTGGCTTGTATGTGTATGTGTTTTTTAAAAAAAATCTTTTGATTTTCATTATTCTTGAAAATCACACAAAGCAACAACATGGAAAGCTTGAGAACTAAGCTACCACTATATTCTTAAGAAATCCAAAAGTCTTTGAATTTTAACTTTTTTAAAGATGTTAAAATTCAAAATGGCAAAGCAACTTTTAAACATAACTTCGTGACTAATTTCTCACATTCTTCTCAAATTTGAACAGTAAGTGCTAAATCCTAAAGTTTCATGAACACCACAAGTAATTTTTGGAGTGTCATGAACACCACAAGTAAGGTAGTGAGTTCTAACTTATAGCTTTATTTGTATAAAATAGAATAGAAAATGGAGTCTTATACAGATTACGTTACTTGCTTAGCATCACAGAGCTAGTTGTTGGCTGAACAGGACTGAAATCCTGGTTTCTTCACCCCAGTGTACTGCTGTACCATCTAATCAGTTGAAAACCAAGCATTATTTAATAGTTTCCAAGGGACATCTGATTTAACCAAAGTCAGCAGGGACAAAGGCCACACGCAAGAACTCTATATGTGCTGTACTCAGACTATCCCTAAGCCATTCTTTTTCCAACCTGTAAAATGAAGACATCAGCATCTTTTGTAAAAGAAATATGTAACCATTTGGAAACAAGAGAATAAACTGTTCCCTAACAACATTAATGTTATCTGCTGATGCTCTGTTTTTAAAAGATCAGAACCAGCCTAACTTTTCTTGGAATTCATATTTTCTACATAAACAACGCTGAGAATGTTGGCAGAGATGTACATAGCTTTGCTGAGATCAGTTATATAAAGTTCCAAATTCAATCTGGGGAGTACTTTGAAGACCACTGCTTTTGATTTTCCACCTACTGCTTACTTGATAGGCATAACTCACTTCTCTTTTCCTTATCATTCCCCTATAACAATTACATGTTAATATTTATATGGCAATAGGATAGTTTTAAATCAAAGAATTAAGAAAAATTTATAAAGATACAATAAATAAAGATTTGGGTTTTAACTCCTAGATAAGATTTTAGGCTCAAGCTAGATTCTGTCATAATTCTAGTAACATTTCCCATTTCCCAAGTACTAGATAACACTATGTTCACCAATACAGTGTTACAGATCTTTTAAAAGTCTTTTTCTACTCTATACTACAAAAAAAACCCACTTTGAACACAGGTTGAGCCAAGTAAAACTGTCTAAACAACTCAAAGTGGTTACTGTTTTGTTTGACCTACACTGAATTGATATGGACTAAGTATTGTTTGACCTACACTGAATTGATATGGACTAAGTATCACTAACAATGATAATGGCAGTGTTGGGGATGATGAGAGCTACAGGCATATTAATATTGAGAAGACTTACAATATTGCTATGTGCAGTCTTCTCGTTTACAACACCATTATATAACTTTTACTAATGCAGAGTTCAAACTTAATCTAGTATACGTCAAATTCCTATCTAAGTTTATAATGAGTTTGTGATTATAAACAAAACTAAACATATTTCACTCTAATTGGAAGAAAAGCTTTAGATTTCAAATTCCCGAACTCATTTATAAAGTGATTTTAAATTTCTTCCAGGAATGTAAAATAAAAATATTAAAATGACAAGTTGTTATTATGATTTTTGGATATTTACCATAAAACTAAATTTGTTTTCCCTAATATTGCTCTGCCTATTCTCTAAAGTTTTTATAAATTAACTATTATGTTCTGAGATCTTAGTATTTTATCCCACACCAAACAAAAGAAAAAAATTTAAAGAATAACTTTATATCTACTGAAACAATATTTTTATTATCTGTCATATGTATCTGTAGTGGAAATCACTATTAGACAACTGAGCATAACATCTAAAACAAACTCTAAGAGCAAGAACTACTGAGCACTAATTAATTCCATCATATGTTTAAGTGTTTATCAAACCTGATGATCAAACACCAATTTCGGCCCTCCATCAGCAGCAGTATCCTCACTTAGTAACATCCATGTGTTTGTGTCAATGTCGTAACGATAGAAGTCACTTTTCAGAGATTTGCTGTTCCTCACAGAGGAATCCAAATAACGCCCCAATGTGTAGATTTGCCTTCGTTGAATGTCAATGCACATTTTATGACATGATCTGGCACTAGGACCATTCTGTAGAGAGCAAAAACAAACACACACACATAAAAACCAAAAAAGAAAAAAAGGAAACAATTTCAAAACAAATAACAGAAAAATAAAATTAAATGCCCTTTTTTGTTACCTTTCATTAAAAGAATTTCTCAGAAACTCATATTAAATGTGAGTCCAACACACTAGGCTTAAATATAGGAAAGCAAAAAAAGCAGTAGGAGACACAAATCTTAGAAATGTTTAAAATCTACTAGGAAGGATGAGATAAACTATTCTGCGACCTATGCCCTCTCAAGTATACCTTCAGTATGGCTTCTATCATATACTCCACTGCATTTTAGTCATTTGTGCACAGTAGTTCAATTCCCTATTACTGTACATGTGAATCCACTTTAAGATATGTTTGGACTTTAAAAACTATTTTGTATTTCTCATCAGAATCTAGCACAAAACAGGTACTCCAAGAATATTTAGAATCAGTGAGTTTCAAAATCACAAGAAACCTTCATAAAATCTCTGGTTTAATTCTTTTCTTTTAGAGATGACAAAATAGAAGACCAGATAGGAAAGGTATCTTGAAAGCTAGTAAGCTAGTGACAGAGCAGAATGAGAATCCAAATCTTTGTTCTTCATCCATCCTTTTCATTATATACAATTGACTCTCCTGACTGAATAAATAACCCAGCTACATCAAATAACTAGGGAACAATATTGAGAACAGTATATTATCAACAAAAATTAATTCACTGAGATCACGTATATCACAGGACTGAATAAAAGGATTTTTAAAAAAATTGTAGTATGGCCAAAAGAGTTCAGGGAGGGAAAAAAAGAATTTCAACTGGGCAGAGTTTAATTAGTTAAAAGTGGGAAAGGAAGGAAACTAATGCTTGTTAAACAACTGTGTGTGTGTGTTTCATTTAATCCTTATAACCTTATAAAGAAACAGTATCATCATTTCACAGAGTTTAAGTAATTTGTCCACAGTCACAAAACTAGGAAGTACAATAGCAAATCTAAGCCCCAGTATAACCAGAGCCAAAAACTGTGCTCTTTTCACTACTCCAGATTATTTTTTCCAGACGATGAGAGAAACAAAAGCAAAAATACACTTGTTAATGCAGTGTATGTGGTTATGACTGAGATGAAGAGTTCTTGTTGCAGAAACAACAGAAGTGAAGTATAAAGTAAAAATAGGAAGCATGGTGAATAACTGATGGAGGAGATTGGAGGTAGTCTTGTAGGCAATAAGAAACTACTAAAGGTTCCCATAGCAAGATATAACACACAAAAAAGCAGTATTATAAGAAAAGTAATCTAGCACTATTAATTAGATTAAATGAAGGAATATCAAGCAGGAAGAACAGTTTGACAGTGTTATTAATCCAGACATTTAGAGATTAACCTACACTTCAGTACTCATACTAATTACTATTTTAAAACTTATTTTTATAGATTTTCATCAAGGAAAATCTTAAGCAGATAAGGTGAAAATTATACTTAAGAGAGGATTTCCTTCATAATTAAATAATCTCAGAAACAAAGATGAAGTAACATATAACATCTACCTCATATTTCCTAGACTATAAAACTTAAAATTTTAACAGGAGAGTAAAAGAACTTCTTGCTTCAATTAAATTAGCATGAGTGCTATTAAAAATGATGAGCAAATTATTCCCTAAGCAAGAAAAAAAATGTGAATAAAAATAACAGAAACTGAGAGAAAACATTAAAAATAGAGAAAATTAACAAAGATGGTTCTTTCAAAGACTGATAGAATTAAAAGCCACCAGGTGAGAGTAATTTTTTATAAGGGCAGAGAAAATACAAATTGCCAATATCAGAAATGAAAGCAAAAATATCACTACAGATTCTCTAAAAATTAAAGAGAATAAGGGACTATTAAAAAATAGGTAAAATTTGACATCACAGATAAAATGGACATATTCCTTGGAATAATATAACTTACCAAAATGACATGAGATGAAAGAGGAAAATTTTGACATTATATTTATTGAAAAATTAAATTCATAATTTAAAATCTTCCCATAAAGAGTACTCTAGACCCAGATATCTATACTAGTAAATTTTATCAAACATTTAAGGAAGAAATAACATCAATTTTAGACAAAAATTTTCAGAAAATAGAGGAGGAAAAATAACCTCCATTTTTTAATCCATATTCTATTCCATTCCTAACTTATTTTATGAGGACAACCCAAAACTGAAACCAAATAACAACATTACAAAGAAGGAAGAGGAGGACAAAGAGGAGGAGGAGGAGGAGCAGGGGTGGGAGTGGGGAGGAGGAGAAGGAGGATCAGGGGTGGGGAGGAGAAGGAGGAGCAGGGGTGGGAGTGGGGAGGAGGAGGAGGAGGAGCAGGGGTGGGAGTGGGGAGGAGGAAGAGAAGGAGGAGCAGGGGTGGGAGTGGGGAGGAGGAGGAGAAGGAGGAGCAGGTAGAGATATAACTTACAGACAGTTAGTATCCCTTATGAATATATTTACAAAACTAATCTTTAACAAAATATTATCAAATAGAACAATGTATGAAAAGAATATTATACAACTAAAAGGGATTTTTCTCAGGAATAAAAAGTTGATTTTATATCTGAAAATCAATCAGGGTAATTTGCCACATTAACAGAGTAAAAGAGAAAAACATGATTATATCAATACATATAGAAAAAAGCATTTGATAAAATTCAAAACATTTGTGATAAAAACAGCAAAATAAGAAGAGAAAGGAACTGTTTTACTCTGACAAAGGATGTAAGAAAATCTGAAATCTAATTTTTCACTTAATGGTGACACATTGCATGCTCCCCTGCTAAGATCTGACACAAGACAAGGACGTCTATTCTCATCACTTCTATTTAACATTGCTCTGGAAGTCCAACACAGTGCAACTAAGAAAGCTGTGTTATTTTATTAAAAAATAAAATAACAAGAAGTTATAATGGAAAAACATGGAAAGGAAGAAGTAAATCATTTTATTAAAAAATAAAATAACAAGAAGTTATAATGGAAAAACATGGAAAGGAAGAAGTAAAACTGTCTCTATTCACAGATGACATGACTTTAAAACATCCTAAGAAATCCAAAAAGAAACTATTAGAAATAATAAGTGAACTCAGCAAAGTGAGATGCTTTACAAAGCCAATATTAAAAAACCAATTGTACTTCTCTATATTACCATCCAATGATGGAGAACGAAAAATTCAGAATTCCATTTATAACAGCACAAAAAACCAAAATACACTGAGATCAATTTAGTTAAAATAGTCAAGAACTCTATACTGAAAACTCCCAAGAGTGCTGGGAGATAATAAAGACGGGCATAAATGGAGATTAAACCAAGTTCATGAATTAGAAGACTCAATATTATTAAGATGTCAACTCTCTCCAAATTGATTTATAGATTCATCACATTCTCTATCATAATCCCAATGTTTTAGAAAATGACAAGATAATTCTACAATTAATATGAAAATGCAAAGGATGTGGAAGAGCTAAAGTAATTTTGAAAAAAGAACAAAAAGGTTTTACATTACCTGACTCATGAGTTACTATAAAGCTACAGTAATCAAAGGAGTATCATATCGGTATAAGAAGAGACCAAAATATAACTGAACAGAATAGAGAGTCCATAAAAAGACAAGTGATAACTGATTTTGGACCAAGATGCCAAAGTAAATCAATGGGGAAAGAAGATGGAGAGCAACCAGAAGTTGCATACATTGCTGGCAGGAGTATAAAATGGTACAACCACTCTGGGAAAAGATTTTAACAAAAAGCTTTCATGAATGGATGCTAAAAGGGTGAGAGTTTGATGAGTAACACGATATTTTCAAAATCTTAAAATGTTCCCCCATAAATTCCTTATTAATTACAAAATAGTAGGATCTGCTAAGCACTTCCTTAACCAAGTGATCAAAGCTAACATCAGACAAATTGACATAATGAGTCTCCTGAAATGATATACCAAGGAGAAGCCAATGTCATCCGTATGTTATTACTGCTAAAAATGCACAATCTAAATCTAATCCTAAGGAAACATCAGATAAACCCAACTGAGGGATATTCCACAAAAAAACTGCTCTGTACTCTTCAAAAACATCAGTCGGGAAAGACAAAGAAAGGTTGAAGAACTATTACAGACTAAAAAATACTAAGGATGCATGACACCAAAATGCAATGCATGATTATGGACTAAATCCTGAGACAGGGATGGAAGGTTGTGGGTGACAGAGGGATGCCTATAACGGGCATTACTGGGCATTATTGGGATAATTGTCTATACCTGAATAGGGACTGTGGATTAGATTAAAGCAGCAGTTCTCAGTGTAGTCTGGGGTCTCCAAGGCATTTCAGGGAGTCCCACAAGGTCAAAGTTATTCTCATAATACCCAGATAAAAAATGTGTCTTTTCACTCTCATTCTCTTACAAGTATAAATGAAATTTTCCAGAGGCTACATGACTTTCTGATACAACTGAATGCAGAAGTAGATATGTATCCACCTGCCTTCTATTAAGCCAAATATTATAGAAAACTAAAACGATGCCACTTAGAGCCAGCCCATGGCTCACTTGGGAGAGTGTGGTGCTGACAACACCAAGTTGAGGGTTAAGATCTCTTAAAAAATAGATAAGTAAATAATACAACGATGCCACCTGACGTATTATGGTTGTCTCAAGGAAAAGCACCTATGCAACTGTTTCAGTTGCAAGCTGATGTAGTTGCTTTTTCATGGAACACCATATTTACTTGCAAGAACAACTAATGATCAAAGTATGGTTATTCAGACACTATGGTTATGGCAGACATTTTCTCAAAAATGAACGAAGAAAGCATACCACTATAAAGGAAAACTGACATAATTTGTTGCCAATGATACAATGCATGTTTTTAAGCAAAAATTCAAATATTGGAAAACTCCTATCTGCCACTATAATCTTGACACCTTCCCAATACTTAAAAGACTTTTCTGAGACTGATGGTGACATTAACAAATGTGATTTTTTGGATACTGTATAATAAAATATGTCACTATTTGGAAGATGTACATAACTCAGGGAACCAACATTTTAAGAGACTAACACAGGGATTAAAAAAACCCAAAACACATGCATAGATAAAAGATCTATTTAAAGATCAAGAGAGACCAGTGGATTTTAACATAGCAGGATATAAAAAGTTAGCTGATGTGGTTTCAGAGCCTGTACTGCAACTACCTCTAAGAAACAACCATTTGCCAATTTTGGGTATGAGATCAAAGAAGAACATATGCAATTACCTGAAAAGTCTATTAAAATACTACTTTCCTTCCAAAAACATATCTATGCAAGGTCCAATTTTCTTCATATATTTCATGCAAAACTGCATTGCAAGAGAGTAAATACAGAAGCAGATACGAGAATCTAGCTCTCTTCCACTTAGCTAGGCATTAAAGAGATTTATAAAAATGCAAAACAATGCCACCCTTCTCACTAAATTTTAATAAAAATGTTATTTCTGTTAACATGTAGGTTTATTATTATTTTAAATTAATTGATAAAGAAGTATTTTTAAAGTTCTTGACTTTAATTTCTAATATAGCAATTTTCAATAAATATAACCCAAATAAAACAGAGAAAACCAATGGGTTTTTGTTTAAAAGTGTAAGGGGATCCTGAGACCATCAAGTTTGAGATGCAAGTTTGAGTACAAGTAAAATCCAACAAGAAGAGCCAGGTCTAATTCCTTCTACTCTAGAATTCCATAAATACGGTCAGAAATACCTAAGAAAACAAGAAACATGATTTAAAAAAATAAAAGTCAAGGACACTTTCCTACCCTTCCTTTATGAAAAGCTATAATCCAGCTTTTTCCAAGATATTGCTTGCTGTAAATTTCATTTTCATTAATAATCACAGCTTACAACCATATTACAAAATATCAATTTTTATAGTTAACCTTTACAAGAGAATACTGAAAGAACTGTACTGGCTAGAGCCCTATATATTACCATTCAATTCACAGGCAGATCAACAAAAGGTGTTTAGGAGTCTATATAAAGAGAGCAATAGCAAATTATTATAAATCTCCAGTACTGAGAAACCCCTTTACTTATCTCTACTGACTTCAACATATACAAAGTGTTCTCATCAAAATAATCTCTCTTTTTCCAGCACTAGTTTTAAAGTAATGACTAACTGCATTCTAAGTATTACTTACAACATATATATATATATGGTATAAAAAAATAACAGAATGAACAGTTATCTACCCAAGTCCACCTTCAGAAGCTGAAATCAAAATTGCCTTTGAAATCCTCTGTAAAGCACCCACCCCGAAGCAGCCATTCTCCTGAATTTTGTATTTATCATTCCCTTGCTTTTCTCAAGGATTAACTTTTCACTTAACTTACCTCACCTATTTACTCACTAAAAAGTAAACATCTGTGTTATATACTTAAAACACATAAACTCCAAAGAATATGACCCACGCCTTGAAGGAATTCAGAGTCTAGGTAGGGAAACAGGAATGTAAACCAATCATTATAGTAACCCATTCAAGTACTAAAAGGGGTTAAGTGAGCACACCAAAGGAAGCTTTAACTCTGCTTGGGGAAGTCCAAAAAAGGCTTCACAGAGCAAGTGAAGTTTGAACTGAGTTTTAAAGAATAAACAGGTATTTACTAGGTAAATCCAAACGGAAAACGATGCTGCCAAAGAACACAGGTGAGAAAGTTGAATAATTTTAGCAACAATGAGTCTGGCTGGCACATAAAATTAGGAGAAGAGGCTTGAAAAGCAGAGACCAAAAACTTGATGAGAAATTTGGAGTCTTTAAGTGAAAGGAACTGAGGTAGTTAAATTGTTTTATTCTTGTAGTTGTTGTTAATATTCACAATTCCCTATATCTATGTCCTTTAATAGTGCCCACCACCATACACTGACTCTGGACTTGGTTACATGACTTCTTTTCTCTAATAAGACAAGAAGAAACTTCATGAACTGCTCATCTGTACTTCATCCCCCTTGGGTCCCTGCCTCTGCCATGTGAACAAGTCCCAGCTAGCCTATAAGAGAGTAAGCAACTAAGTAGAACACAACCAAGTAGTCCCAGCTGAAGCCATCCTAGACCAGCCAACAGACAGCTGACTCCCGGACAAATGAGCTCAGCCAAAACCAAAAGAATGACCCAGCCAACCTGTAGACTCACGAGCAAATAAGCACTTATCACTGTATGCCACTGAAGTTTTGTAGGTGCTTGTAATGTAATAGATAAAATGTAATAAGTAACTAAAACAGGGACTGCAGCTAACCACAGGGTTTAAGCAGAGGTGTCACATGGCTAAATATGTTTTTTAAGGACTGTGTTGATGAGTGAAGAATGCACCTGGGGATCAACAATGGAGATAAAAAAGTTTAAGAAACCATAAAGCTGGAATTAATGCCAAAAGGAATAGAAAAGAAAAGACACAAATGCTAGAACTGCTGGAACATAGGCACTAATTAGATACATTCAATGAAGAAGAGGGAGGATTTCAGGATGAATCCTAGACTAATTAAGAATAATTCCAGGTGCAATCAACCTAGATTTAAAATAGCTTAAGAGAAACAAATTGCTATTATTTTTTTTTGAATATAGAAATAACCATTTCAGAAAACAGTACTTCAGTACTGAAAAGTATTCTTACATACTTTTACCAGGGGTAAGAAAAAGAAACCAGAATTTCAAGATCTTTTTGAAAGAATATAGAAATAACCATTTCAGAAAACAGTACTTCAGTACTGAAAAGTGAAAGCCATTCTTACATACTTTTACCAGGGGTAAGAAAAAGAAACCAGAATTTCAAGATCTTTTTGAAAAAATAAAAACTATCCAAATGATTAATCCCTGGAACACAACGAGTAAGCAAAAAACCAGTTTCCTGGAATTAAAGACACAGCACCAGATCTTTTGAAATGGCCTTCTAGACCAAAATCAGTGAGTTTTGAAATTAGGTTTTTTTCTCTCCCTTTCATTTGTGACTTCTACTGTTTTGTTATAGTTTGTTTTTCACTTCATAATCTGAAACAGCTTAGATGGAGGGTGCAATAAAAAAAAGTTCTATGAAGATTTGAAAAAAATAATAAATTAATATTTGCTTTATCCCAATGTATAATCATGTGCTTGTTTAATTCAAAGCTATAAACTCAAGCCACCTTATTCACTATGGAAATGCTTTATGTATATATGTATAGCTAGAAACACACATGTGTATACAATTTTAATTAAAAATATATCATTTATGGGCTGGCCTGTGGCTCACTCGGGAGAGTGCGGTGCTGATAACACCAAGGCCACGGGTTCGGATCCTATATAGGGATGGCCGGTTTGCTCACTGGCTGAGCGTGGTGCTGACAACACCAAGCCAAGGGTTGAGATCCCCTTACCGGTCATCTTTAAAAAAAAAAAAAATCATTTATGAACACTGATATACAGTGAAATAGTGAGGTGCCAAAACAGTAAGATAGCAAGGGGCCAGAACATCAAAAGCACGTTTTTCCAGAGGAAATAAAAATAAGATGAATGCTGAAAACAAGAATAGATGTAACAGGAACATGAGAAAAAAGAGAGTTATACAGTTACATTTCTGGGCTAAAGTAGTTTAAAAACTAAACAATACAAAAATACCCATTTCCATTTATCTTTTATAAAACAGATTTGCATGCTAAGTAGTTGAAGAACTAGGTATAGAAGCTGGAATGCAGGAGTACTTAAACCAAACTTGTTTACCACAAATTATTTTGCTACCACTGCTGACAGACATTAAAGAATACAATCATACACAAAGAGAAGTGTACACCCATGCCCCTACTGTAATACAGATGTATGAGAAGTCTGAGAACTTGCCTCTTTCTCAGTGTCTCTAGAGATACATGTCCACTGGTTCTCCTTCACACTGTACGCCCAGAAGTCAGCGAGATCTTGTGTTCCATCCCAGCCACCAAACAAATAAACGGTCTCTATGAAAATCAGAAAAATATGTGTAAAAAAATACACGTAAAAACAAATAAGCATAGGCGCTCAGACCTAGCCTGTTGTTTCTAAGATAATTTAAGAAGGTAAATCTAAATGAATTTAAAAATGAGATTTTTTAAATGATAACTTTCCAAAATACATGCTAAACTAGTATTTCCTAAACAAGAATATATGGAAAGCCTGCTGCAGAACCACTCTTTTGAGAGACTTATAAAAATACAGATAACCAGGAGGTATTCCTTAAGATTCTGATTTCATAGGTCTTCAGTGGGTAAAAAGGAGTCTGTATTTTTAAAGTGTCTCAGATGAATATGATGTGCAGCCAGTTTAGAAGTTTCTGTGTTAGGCCATGAAAAGTTTACATTTACCAGCTTAACAATGCAGCCACTTTTTATCCACTGAAGACCTATGAAATTTTCTCTTCAGACAGTAAAAACAGAAACCCAAGAGGAATACAAAGTGTAAAAATATAACATCAGAACACCTAGCTGTTTCTGAAAACACTTCGCATTAAAGGTGGCTTTTCCCTATTGCAATATCAAAAACTATGTTTAAATTAGCTATAAGTTAAAGTTAAATATCTTAAGAATAAACTGATGTATAGCTTTGGTATTCCCATGAAAACTGGGGAAAATTTTCCCAAATATGTTGCGGTAGGTTTAATTCCCGAGACATTAACTTTTAAGTCATTCTAGGTATTCTTGAGAATTTTGTTTCTTCTGTCTCTGAAATGTCTATTACATATATGGGACTTTATACTATGACAAAACCAATTTCTTGCTCAGTGAATAGTGAATCTTTACACATAACAGTGTAAATCATAGATCGTTCTTTATACAATGATAGTGCCTTTCCTTTCTTCAAATATTTTCTCCCTTTGTAAATGTCTATGTCTACTGGTTACACAAGCTCACCAATTATGTTTTTTAAAAAGTCAAATTAAACATTACAGGAAATCTGTAAAGCCATCTAGTCTAACTGACATGTCCCTACGTCTATATGAGGGTACTTCAAAAAGTTCATGGAAAGATTTGTGTTATCTTAATCCTATTTTTTCCACAAAGTTTTTGAAATGCCCTCATATATGTGGTGACTATCATCTAAGTTATTTCCCACCCTAAAGGGTTACAATTCAAAGTTCACTTGGAAATACTGGAACACTGTTTAAGAAACCTCTTGCTATTCAGAGTTGGGCTGTCTTCTAACAGACTGTTGTCATAATTTCAAACTCTAAGTGAATTTTCTAAATGAAACATCCATTCTATCTCCCAGTAACCCAGGGAAATCAAAACAATGCCTCATTGCTCTCTGGATAGTCTACTGGAGCAAGACTGTGTTCTAGTGCTAACTGGGTGATCAAGTACAGGTCTTTTAACTTCCCAGGGTCTTAGTTTTTTCATTTACAAAATTCTCAGTGTTGTGGAGTTCTTCAGATATAAGTTACATGAAAACATTCTGAAGGCTCTCGAGAATGAAGAGCACTTCTATCTTTAAAACATGCACAAAAGTAAAAAATACTTTGTAATTACTAAGTACCATAGATGCAATAAAAATGATATTACTGTATATGATTCCATGATTAATTTGATATGTAGAACACTTTTGGCACTGTAAAAATGCAAAATAATGGCAATTATTTTAAACTACTAAAAAAACTGTCATATCTCAGAACTGTACAACAATACGTTACCATTAGTTAAGTAACATTCTGTTTTCCAAATGGCACACAGTAATGCCCAGACACTTCTAATTTTACAAGGAAAAAAAAAATTAAAGAACTTTCATCTGGCTTAAAAATTATTTGCCAAGGCCTCACTATAAAGGCAATTAACCCTATTAAATTCTGAAGCCTGGAGAGGGAGAGTGTATACAACTAAAACAGCAATAGCAATTGACCTTTTGTTTTACAGTGTTTCTGGGCACCCTTTGGATAAGGTTACCCTGGTTCATTAACTTTAATAACCCTTCCTCTTGGGCTCCGGGTTCTCAATGTTCTTTCTGAAAAGCAGGTCTCTTTGTACGCATAAATTCTCACAGCAAAGAAAACCCACATTTCCACAACAGCCTCATTGATAGCTGAGCAAAATAAAATCTGGCACAGAGCAAGCATCTCAGTGGAATTAAGCCAAGATGTCATTCCTGTCCATGAAAGCTTTGTGATCCCAGCTGAAGTTGAATAGTAAAATTAAATGAATTGGATGGAAACTAGACTTTTTGATGTACCTGAATGAAAATGCATAACAAAATTTTTAAATTAAATTATCTAATCATTTAAGTCATTCAAAGATGAATTATTTTCTAGAAACAAACACCAGCAAAGTATTATTTAATGTATAAAGGATATCAAAGACCTTTAAAAATTACGGAAATAACTGGAGACAACCATAGAGAAAACTAAAGTAGAAAAGACAAAAGAAAAAGCATTAATATTTGCAGCAGGGTAGTAAATGGTTTAATGGAAGGCCATTCTCATGCTTATAGGTTCTATAACAATTCAAGTACATCCTGAGACAGTATAATCTTCCTCAGGCAGCAGCCCTTTCCCTATATTTTTTTTTAATGGAGTAAAGGCTATACTGGCTATTCACTTATCCCAGCATTTAGAGGAATGTTTGTTTAATATTTTTTGAATACTGATCTGAATTGGCCAAGCACTTTAGAAAATAAAAAGAAAGGAAACATAGCCCCTATCTACAAGGAGCTTACAGTCTAGTCAAGAATGTAAAATAGGCACATAAATCACCATAATGCAGAGATGACTACACGCCATAAGAAAGATAAAAAGCACCATGGGAGTTCAAAAAGAGGGAAGAGAGGTACCTGGTTGAGGGGACTCAGGAGAGGTTTTGTGGTGACAGTGGTATTAGACCTATGCATCAGAAGGTGGCTTTGTGTTCTGGTAGGCAAAATGGGGGACAGAAAAGAGAACTTTTCAAGCAGAGTAAAAAGAATAACAAAGGTACAAAAAAAGAAAAACACACCAACAGTGTTTTAAAAGACATGGACTCCAAAGTCAGGCAGATCTTGTCTACAATTCTGGCTCTATCACTACAGCTATGTGATCACTGCCAAGTTCTGGCTTCCTAAACTCTAAAATGTAATACAGTACCTATGTCATAAAACTACTGTGAGAATTAAATTAGATAATACATGTAAAGTAGTTAAACTGTGTGATGAACAAATGCATTGTTTGATTTAAAAGAACACATAGGTGGTAAGTGGAGATGAGGTTAAAAAGAAAGGTAATGGCCTTATCATGGAAAGGGTGAAATGACAATATAAGGGCTTTGAACTTGACTCTACAGATAGCAGAGAAGCTACAGAATATCTTTAGCAGAAGGGTGACAAGGTAAGATCTGAAAACTGCAGCCCAAAGGACTGGCTGAAAAGGAAAACCAAGGGAATAAGAGGGATTGGAGGTAAAGTGGCCAATAATAATCTATATTCAAAATGTCAAACCAATCTCATTTGAAGATAATAAGTCAATCAATCACCAATCAACCAATCTATAATTACTCAGGCCACAAAAACTAAAATTCAACCACATTCTTTGGTACAGAATATCTACCAACTTGGTACCAGTACCACATAAACCCCAGAGCTACTTAGTACCTATAGTACCACTCTACACATCTTATATACACTAAAATATAAGGTAGAAATGTTAAGATATGTAAAGATATCAGTGCCTTCACACCATCACACACAATGAAACAGCCTTTATATCTGAAGGGCCCGACTGCAATATCTATCATTCTACGGTGATTCCTTAGGGGTAAATCAGACTGTGCTGATTCCATATCCTCCACAAGATGGCGCACTATTTTCGTAATTAAATCAGTTTTTCCACTTTGAAACTACGTATAATGCATATATTACACACTGACATAACTTAGGCTCAAAACATAGATAAAATTTATGTGTCAAAAAGAAGAGGCAGCAGAAGGGTTAACAGGGTGGTGAAAGAAGTTAGCTCAATTCTTAGTTTAACTAGATACCAAGGGAAAAACAAAGGAAATTTTAAGAAAAGGATTTAAGAGACACACCATTATCTTTTAAGACAAAAATGAAACTTTGTAAAGATATTTAGACTAAGAGTTTAAAACCTTCCTTAATAAACTGACATGCAATTTTTGAAAAGAGGAATAAATTAGAAGGGGAAAGATATTTTAAATGCTCTTTACCCTTCCCTTCCTCAGGCCATTTCCTTGAACTATTATGACCCAGCAGATTATCAACCAATAATAAATCCCTCTCTTTTAAAATAGAGCTGTATTCTTACATAAAGCTATGATTACAAAACTATCTAGAGACTAACCTTTTGGGTGAATTCAACATATGTTTCTTTCCTTGCTAAAAGGTTGCATTTTACCCCTGAGATAATAGTACTTTGTATTCTTAATTATATAGTCTTCCCTTGGTCATCTGTGGGGGATTGGTTCCAGGATTCCCTGCACGCAGATACTTGAGTCCCTTATCTAAAACGGCATAGTATGTATATTTGCATGTAACATATGCACATCCTCCCGCACACTTTAAAGCATCTCCAGATTACTTATAATATCTAATACAACGTAAATGCTATGTAAATGGTTGTTACACTGTATCTTTTTATTTATATTATTTTTTATTGTAGTATTATTATTTTTTGTTTTCTTTCTGAATATTTTCAATCACCAATTGGTTGAATCCACAAATATGGTACCCATGGATACAGAGGGCCAACTGTATTTCAGAACTCCTTTCTGATAACTGTACGAAAGAAAAAGTGGCATATTATATGTGCTTCAGAAATATAGCCATATTGGGGCCGGCCCGGTGGCGCACTGCTACAGTGTGCCGCTTGGGAGCGCGGTGGCGCTCCCGCCGAGGGTTCGGATCCCACATACAGACCGGTTCCCGCTCACTGGCTGA